TGATATTTGTTCTCGATCAGCATCAACATTCGACTGGTTTCATAGTCCGTTTATCCCTAGATCTTAGAGACTTTAATAGACAGGCTTTAAAGTTAGTTCTCCCGTTCTTTTTTCTCGTATTCGATCAAAATTGATATCGAGTCCCGTTATCGCGAAATAAATAGAAATCGGTAGGACATTGATACAAATCGATATAAAGTACCGATTTTACAAAATCGATAAGCTTCCATACTTTCTTCCGTTTAAAGATATCGATCAAATTCGATAGCAAGCGACGTTATCACGGTATCGATAAAAATCAAAACCAATCTCCGTTTTCATGAAATCGATGAAAATCGATATCGATATACCTGTTTCTTGGTATTGAGTATTGAGTATGTAGCCTCCCGTATAGTCTACACAATACCAGAACATTCCAATTAATCGATACGTTCGTCCGGTCCCCTCTAACAAAAAGATCTTGTGTGTGTGTGTGTTTTAGTGCAAGATTCAAAGACAAGAAAGTTTCAATTCATGCTACGATAAGTACAGGGTATCTCCCCAACGAATCTCTCAACTTAAACACTGTCTTACGTCTTTTTTTTTCGGTTTGTCAGCCTGTCCCAGAAAGTGCTGGCAGCTCCTTAATATATTCCAGCCTTTGCTTTTTATTCTGTTCTTTTTTTAATGTTTGTCATTTTGGCGACGCTTTGTTTCCGTTGTTGTCGTTGTCGTTGTTGTCGTTGTTGTTGTTGGTGATTTAGCTGCGTGTCGCGCTCGTTTTGCATGTAAATTTGTTGCCTAATTTTGGGCGCATGGCGATTTATGTGCCTCGCCCACAGTCGCGTATATTTCGCTTTTTCCCTTTCTCTATATATTTAGCTCTTGCGTTGTAATTTATGAAATAGCCGGGCTTCATCAACATGCACTCACGTCTTCAGCTGCCGCGCCCTTTCCAGCTGCCTCCCTCCCATTGACATAATGAATGTTTTTCAATTTTATTTATGACATAAATTGTTAATAAATGCAGCTCTCTCACTCGCTCTTTCTTTCTCTCTCTCTCTGTCTCGCTCTCTCTTTATCTCTCTCTTTCTCTCTGACACTCTCTCCCTCTCCCTGTCTCTCTCTGCTCGCTACGTGACGCCGTCGCATCGTCCTTGGCGTATGATTAATGCTTGGCATAAATGAAATGCATTGTAAATAAATTATTACGCATACGCCGCGTTGTTGGCAGCTGCTAATGAAGCTGCTGGCTATTTGAGCGCCTTAGATACACACACACACTAACGCACACAAAGGGCTTGAAAGTTTGCTCAGCTGGCGCTAAAAAGTATGCTATGAAAAATTTGTGTGTGTGAAACTCTTTTTGGACTCGGTTTCGGCTTGATTAAAATTTCATTAACAAAAAGTTGCGGCATACTTTAAAGCATGTGTGCGAGTGTGTGTGTGTGTGTGTGTGAACAGCTGAACACCAGCGCCACCGCAGATTTCGCACACACACACACACACTCAGCTTCGCACACACATGTGCTTTGGCACATAAAACGTTTTTGTTGTTGCTTTTCGCCTGCACGCTTTTCTTGCTTTTTTCCCGCTTTTCTCTGCTCCTTTTTTTCAGCGCTGGCTTTTTGCGCTTGAACGCTTCGTTTGTTTGCCAACTGCCTGACGCCTGTTCAAGGATCTGCCGCCGCCGCAGCCTTTTTATCGCTGTGGCTGTGCGTGTGTGTGTGCGAGTGTGGGAGTGTGTGTGAGTGCCTGTTAAATTGCTTGTTTATGTTTGCCCGCCAAAACAGGCTTCGCAGCAAGTTTCAGTCGCGGCCGCGGCAATCACTTGAAAATGCTCATGTGATTTTGATTTGTTTTAATTTGGCTGGCAACAAAAAAAAAGAACATCAACCATGCCCCGCCCACACACATCAGCCCCCTTCGGCTGTTTACTTTATCTGGCACAACAAGCGACTGTTTACTTTTTGTTAATGTTTTTGTTTAGGCTGTTGATTTTATTACAAAATGTTGCTGCCATCGTTCACTCCGTTAGCCAAACGAGCATATTTTGTATTTAATGAGCTCTTGTTGGGCTGAGAATTATGCGTGCTTGGCAAATAATTGTCGAATTTATGAGATGTGTATACAAAGCTATAAATGATATCTGCAAAGAGCAGGCATTTCCTTAACAAAAGTTTTGTAAAAAGCGAAAGGCTTTGGGTTGCACACAGCACAACCTGTTGAGGAGTGTAAAGGATGGAATTCGATATAAACACATGCTGAATTAAATAAAATGAATATTGAAATAGAGAACCATTTGGAAACTGGGACTCTCATCTATTTTTTGCCATGAACCATACCTAAACATAATTTCCTTAAATAAAGGTTGAGCTTGGAATATATAAACCGTTGAGGTCGACTCAGCTCAAAGCAGAAATAAAAACCAACTTTGCATTTATCTGCGTCTCTTAATTAAAAGTCTTCAAAGCAACTGCCACAATTACTCGTCCAATATTTCTGGAATTTCTAGATGCTATAACCCTTGGAGGTGTTGCCCGTTTTCCATCCTTTCCTTCCTTTTTTTATCGCTCATAATGCCAGTTAAATTTAATTGTTAACATTTTGATTTTTCGCTTGTTCGTCTTCTTCTCTGCTCGCTCTTAACTTATCAACCTGTCACGTACAGCTTTTGGCACTGGCCAGGAATCGACTTAACTACATGCCATAATTATAATGCCAACATCAGCGTTAATTTAACCCAAACCCCAGCACAATCCGCTCTTCTGTCGGCGCTAATCCACTTCAGCCAGCGACTCATACCCAAAGGCATGTCAAGCATTTAATTACTGGCCATCACAGGAGCTTAAAAATCCTGCCGGTTGCTGCTGCTGCTGCTGCCGTTGTCCTGGCAAATCCACTTCGTTAAAATAATATTAAGCCAACGAAAGGATCCAACCCGAAGCGGAATTCATCAACATTTGCGCGCCTTTTGCCTGCCTTTTGCCTCTGCTCACAAAATGTTACGCAAAATATTTTCATTAAAATGTCAAAAATATCTGCAAATATTTTGCGCAGACACGCAAAACTGGACGCAAAATAAAAACCAAAAGTAAAAGTGCTCTTGTTGAGAGTATGCTGCCAAGAGATACCCTGTAAAGAGAGGCGAGCTGCCCATACAAATATTCTAGCTTGCTTCTAGACATATGTATACAAAAATGCACACATACACATACACACACACACACACACAGACAAACAATCCGCTAACTACATACTTTATGTAGCGGCGGTGTTTCTTCCTCTTTCCTCGGGCCCAGTCTATGGAAAATGCATTCCTAGATAACTAAGCTGTTTATTTTACAATCTTTATGAAATTTTTAGGCTTTGCAAATGACAACCAAAAGCTCGCGCATCCAAAACCCCAAAGTTCTATATCAAGCATTTCGCTTCTTTTTAATTTTTACAAGGATGGAAGGGGGTATTTAAAATATGATATACTCTGGATCTGTGCATACCCTAAGAGAACCTACATACCAAATTTGGTGTGTGTAGCTCTTATAATCTTCGAGATTTGCTTAAGAAACGTTGTCTTATAATCGACATTTATCGATATCATGAAAATATATCACAATAGACAAACTAGATCTCCTCAGCTCGACGACTTTTATCAGAATATGTATAGGCAGTCGCAAGAGGAAGTTTTTTACCTCTTATTTAGAAACGCACAAACCTATATAGAGTACCCCTTTTACCCATTTACAATGATTACAGGGTATACAACAACGAAAAAAATGGAAAAAGGCAAGCAAAACTGGCAAATGGAAAAAGGTTTCTCTATTTGTTAAAGCGCTCAACATGCAGCGGCCAGAATTTGGCCAGTAGCAGGCAGGCAGTCAGGCAGCCAGGCAAACAAGCCAGTGCCAGTGAATCGTCGAGAGAGTCGTTAAATTGTTTTCATTATCCTTGTAAGCCGGGCAGAGCCAGCCGAGCGCTCTGTGGCTGTGGCCAGCGCACTTTGCCCGCTTCGACCCGCTTTCGGGGTTGCCCTGGCAATTAAAACCGCAATGCAAATGAGCTGTGCTTAATGCGCCCGTCTATGTGTGTGTGTAAATGTGTGTGTGTGTGTGCGTATATACACTCTCCCAATAGTTTGCGGTGCGGGCATAGAAAAATTTTAATTGCGCTGTCGGGACGCATTTTTTGTTGTTTTTTTTGTTGTTGTTGTTTAGAAAAGCGCTTAGACAGCGCTTCAAGTGCGTAGCCAAAGTCGTGGCATGGGCCAAATTATGCCTCAATTTGATATGCTATATGCACACACACACACACACACACACGGGCAGACACATGCTTCGTTTGCTGTGCCGTGTTTCCGTTTCATTTGTAATTAATTAAATTACTTCCGCTTAAAGTGCGCTACCAACATGGCGCTGCGGTCCATGCTGAGACGTTGGCCGCCCCAATCCCCAGATCCAATCGACTTCTCAATTACGTTGCTGCAGTCAAACCCCCCACCGAGCCTCCCTTCCTCTCTCTCCCTCTCCTCCTCTCTTTCTCTCTCTCTCTCTTTCTGTTGCTCTGTTCATTGCGTTGTAATTAAGAAGACATTTCACCCGGGCATCCTTTAATCTGTGCGTTTTATTTGCGTCCTTTTGGCTCGGCAGCCGGCTGCGACTTGTTGTTTACTTCGTCGCACGAGTGCACCCGATTCCGTGTGTTCCTTGTGCCCCAAGATTTGCTTTGGTTTTGCTTTAGTCCTGCCAGTCCTGTGCTAGTCCTGCGGCTGCCGTTTTAATCTGTGGCAATGGCTGCTCTGTCTGCTGAGCTGAACTGGTTGTTATTTCTTGCCCAGGCGCACGCTTGATTAGACGCCTAATGAGGTGTTGACTATGGGCATCTAATGATTGCCACACACTCACACACACTCTCACACACACTCACTCACACACACACATGCAGACTTGCCTTGCTTTAAAGTCAATTTTAATTAAATTTTTATAAAGCTTTTAACACATTTTTTCCGCTCTGTTTTATTGCAGCTGCAAACGTGGCCCACTGACTGCTCAATGAAAAGTTTGGTTGCCGTCGAAGCAACGTGAGTATGCAAATGAACACACACACACACACACACTCACACACACACACCCAACTATGCTACAAATGGCTGCCTTTGTTAGCGCTTTGCATTTCACTTTCATAAGCTGCTGGCCCCAAAAAGTATGCTACGAAATTGTGAAACCAACTGCCCGAAGGCAAATGCTTTTGCGTATTTGATTCGTTTTCATTAAAAACACTAAATCGAATTAAATAAATAAAAGCTTACAACAAAAATACAACCCAAATTACATGTGTAAAATAAAAACAACAACACTTAACTCTCCCCCTCTCTCTTTGCTTTACTTTTTATTTACATGAAATTCGGACCTGCACACAATTAAAATTCAACTAAAATTGAAAATGAAATTGGCAAACTAAAAAAAAAAAAACACACACAACAAACGGCATTCAAAAATTGGCAACTAATTGGCGAAAATATTCAACTGTGAAATTGGCAAACAACTAAAACAATAAAAAAAAATACTAATATAAAAATACCCAAAAAATACTGTGCTGCCCGCTATAAACAACCACCCACAAAATCATATTAACAACAACAAACAAACAACAATAATCACCATCATCATCATCATCAACATCATCATCAACATAATCATCATCATCGCCATGAACATCCTGCAAAATCCTGCTATTTATGCGCTTTGTGACGTCATATTGCCGCGACCCCTGACCAACCAAATCGCTAACAACCCCTGTGGCCATGCCCAACCCCTACCCCTACCCTCTCGCCACCTCCCCCCCCCCCCCTGCCAATTGTTGTCGCTTGTATTTATGTGCATTTTTGTGGCTGCCCAAACCCCCCAACCCCTGCGCTCCCATCCAAATATTTTCATATGCGTTTTCATTTTCGCTTTCTATTTGCCGGTTTTATGCAACCATCTGCCCCGCCCCCTACGCCCTGCGATCCCATTTTTGTTTATGCTTCACGCTTTCGATTTTCATTTTCTTTTTTTTTGCTTTTCGTTGCCAATTTCCGCTTGAATTAATTCTGTGTTTAAATCTGCGTCTGGTTGTCCTCGACCGGGTCCTCATCCTCCTTCTCCTCCTGCTCCTGCTCCTTCTCGTCGCCTGCAGTTTGCTGAAGTAGCGCGCGACCCCTGCGGTTAGTGGCCCCCACTGTACAGAATTTAATAAAGCCCGCAGCAGCTCCCCCCCTCCCCCCTACTCGTACGTGTGCGGGGGTGTGCTGTCCGGACTGGGATCACACGCAGCGCGACAAAAGCCGCCCGCAGCGCTTTTATATGCGCACATAATTCAAAAACACTGCAAAAGTTAATGCCCAAAAGCGACGGCGCAATGATAACCAACAATAATTTGGATTATGAGAAGAGCTGCCTGACAGCGGCCACAGCAGCAGCAGCAGCATCAGCAGCCGACGCTGCGGCAACAATTGCCAGCAGCAAAAGCAACGGCAGCAACAGAAACGGCAGCGCCAGCAGCAGCAACAATTCATCGCCCACCGCCGACAACCAAAACAACTCCAATTCGAATTCGAGCTCGCATTCGATAACGAGTTCGCATTTGAATTCGAATAACAGCCCCCAGAGCTCATACTTTAATCGGTTCGATAATCGCATTGCCGCCAATCTGGCAGCGGTCATAACAGGCGCTCGTTTCCGCTCCTCCTCCTGCAACAGTCGCCAGCAGCAGCAGCAACAGCAGTCGCAATCGCAGCAGCAGCAGCCACCCCACAGCCAGGCCCGGCAGGTGAACAACAGCTCGCGATCCTCTTACCACTACCTGAGCGCAACGCGTGGCAGATCGACATTGAGCACAGCCACGCCCCCATCGCCAGCCAGCCTGGGCAGGCGGCGACCATTGCATCTATTCACCCAGGCGAATCTCAAGTAAGTAATTAGCTACACTCAACAAAAATTGTGGCTCTAAATTTAACAAAAGTTGCCTTGAATAAATATTTTATATCAGGCTAAATTTTTAGCTACATTTGAAGGCAATTTTTGAAAAATTTAGTAACTAAATTTTACTTCGAGTGAACTTTGCGCTTCCTTAGCAGCAACTGCGCCCTAAAAAATCCCCATCCTCTAAGCTTAATCATGCTCATCGCACACTTAACCACCACAATAATCACCCTACACTGATTTAACAAAAAGTCCAGCTCAGAATTTGGAAATGATATATGCCTCTCCCTATAGCTGCAATGAGAACGAGAAGGTGGCGCAAACGCCCAGCTCCGATGAGGATAACTCGCCCACAGAGCTGAACAATTGCAAGCGCCTCACGGACAAGCCGCCGCTGGTGAGTAAAAGCAGCCCAAATAAAGCCCCATTGTCAGCCCTATGAGCCCGCAAGAATACCCAAGCATGCTCAAATAACCACCTAGTAACCCCAACTAACCCCCAAAGAAACCTCAAGAAAAGCCAAACAAGCCTGTGAATCCCTTGTAAATGAAGATACAAAGAGGGCATAATAGTTTTGTGTAAATGCATGTAACAGGCAGAACGAAGCATCTCCGATCACAAGTGTATATATTCTAGATCAGAACGAAGAGCTGAGTCATTTAAGCCGTATCTGTCAGCGGGTCGATCTATGTGTTTGGACGCATCGATCTCGGCAACTACAAGACATAGAGACTAAAAATTAGAAATATATACTAAATATATATTTTTTTTTATATGTCCTTCTATTTTCATACTATCGTTCAAACTCAGTTATGAGCTATCGATTTTCGATATATCCTTTCATTTTCATTCTACCGAAAAAAATCAATTGTGAGATATCGATTTAAAAGCCTTACTCGAAGATTATGAGAGCTAGATACAGCAAGCTTTGTAAGTAGGCTCTGATATAGTCTACATATAATACGTTTTTTTCAATTCTTAGAAACGTTTTCCTACTCCTTAAAATAAGAAGATTTATAGAAAAAGGTACTAAAAAGGTAGACTCTTGCGCTTTAGTATGTACGCACTATTCTAGGCAATATTAAAGCCCTGAACATTTCATAAAGAGGGGACCATAAGCACCGAAGTTAATGAAGAATACATTTCATATATATAGTGTGTGATAAGGGGAAGAAGAAGCGCAGCCACTGCATGAAGTGTGCGTGCTTGTGTGTGTGTGCATGTGTGTTTTTGACTATATGTGTGCATATGTATTAAAGATAGTTCGAATGCTTACAACGGGTATCTCCTAGTCGTGTAATCCCCTCCTAGAGCTCACTTGCATATTTGTCCTTTTTTTGGTTACCAAATCGTCTTAAGTTTTCAATCGAAGTACTCAAATTCAACCCCAAACCCCACAACACCCTCTCCCCCCTCCCCCACCCTCCACTCGTACAGTCCTCAATCATTGCATATTTGATATGTTTGTTCTTTGACTTTGATAAGGGTGCTTTCAACCCCGTCAACTGCGGCCATTTATTGGTTTCTTGTCATACGCAATTTTGTGCGCAAATATTTCCAAAATTTATGAATTTTTCTCTCGTTGTTGTTGTTTTGTTTTCCTATTTTTGCTTTGTCTATTCCGCTGCATTTGACGCTTTCTATGAATTATTGGCAAAATAAAGTGTGCGACCAAAAAAAAAAACATCAAAAGCTTTTGGCTAAGCGCAGCTAAACCTGACGGCTTGGCTTCTTTTGGCTTCTTTCGGCCAGCCCCAGCCCTTTAGCCCCAAATCGCTATCAACTTTTTTTGAGTGTGGGAAAAGTATAAAAAAAGTTGGGTAACTTTTGAAGCAGCCCCTAACCTGAACTGTCCCATTCCCTGGCAGACTTACAGACCATTTGCTGGCATTTATGTGCACTTAAGAAATGGGTAGGGTATGACAGTTTTTATGTCAACTATGCAACGGTAGGACAATGCGTATTTCCAGCTAAATGAAAGCTGACAATATGCAAGGTTGGAATATTACAATTATTATAAAACTATACAATTAAAAAAAATGATTAATTATGAAATGTTAAATAATTTTATTATTTTGATTTTTTTCTTGACGCCCTACAAACTCATCTAATAGCCAATTTATGGCTACAAATTTAAATGGGGAAACCCTTAAAACTTTGTTTTCTATATGAGATTTATGTTTCTGATTTTTCACATATTTTAAGTGCTATGCCAGATCTACAGATAATACAAGCCATTAATCAATAGCTTACAATTCTTATGCAGCGGCTGTGCTTCTTTCCCACATAATCTGTGGAAAAGGGATTCCTTGATTAACTTTGGTGCTTATAGTACGATTTTTACCAAAATTGTAATGCCTCAATATGGCATACAATAGTTTCTACATACCAAGGTGGAATTCTCTACCTTTTAAAAGTACATTTTTCTCTATCTTTTGGTACATTGGGAATTATATGAAAAGCTAAATACCAAGTTTAGTGTGTCTAATAAACCTACTCTTTAAAACAATATTTATGGATATTATGAAAATGTGAGAGATGCTTTCTTTTGCCGGTCAGATACATATGCATTGAAGAACAATTTACCCTATTAACCCCCTTCAAGCGCATTTGTTCAAATTATTACACGTCTAGTCGAGCAGGCTCTGTAGTACAACTTCTCAAAGGGTATTCAAACTTTGCTGTGCTATAAGATAAGCGGTCTTTGTGATTGTTCGCCTACAACGCGTATTTTTGGCTATTGTCATAAGATGTACAGAGAGAAGGAGAGCTAAAGAATTGTAGAGAGTTGGAGAGAGAGAGGAGAACGTTGAACTGTTTCACATGTGCAATGTTTATCAAATGTTTTGTCATTTCGTTTTTTCTGTCACGTGTTTCCTTGGAACAGGGCTAGTATAGGAGCGGAGAAACTTAGCATTGCACAACTTTGGCCTTCAGTTGGATGCTGATGCTGATGCCCCGTCTTCGACTTTGAGTTGAGGCACGTTGTTTTCATAAATTTTGCGCCTTAAATATTCATACCGAGACAGGCCACACATAGAGAGGCAGCTGTGCGCAGTCGAGCATAGTCTATGCGATAAGTACGTGAGAGTTTATTCATATGAGAAAGTCGGCGAGAGAGACAGACAGACAGACAGACAGAGAGACTCTTAGAGAATCGTGTGCTCATGTGTGCTATATGTGCTCCGTGCACGGGGCGTATGCGTAATGTGTTTGTCTTATTTATGGCCCGATTGCTACTGGCGCGCATTATGATGATTACATTTTGAGCTAATGGCCCTTAAATGGAGCAAAAGTGCAGCCAAAATCAACAGTCGACAGCCAAACTCAATTCTCCTGTCACACTTGAAGCAATTGCCGAAAAAAAATTGAAATTCTGCAGCATGGTTAAAATCGAAAGCGAAAACCAATCAGTTGGCTCTAATGGCAAGCCATAAATATTTTCAGCATTCCCCGAATGTAAATACCAAAATGCTTGCCTCAAGGACATGAACCAGAAAGAAAAAACCTAAAAACAAGAAGAACAAATATATACAGCACACACATATGTCGAAAAAAAGGGTTCAACTTTGGCATTTTTCATATTGGTTGTTTTACGCGCAGTTCACAGAGTGAAAGCGGGTATATTGGTTGTGTGCCAGGTCCCTCTGGCTGACAAATCTAGAGTTTAAGCTCAGGATTTATACATGTGTCTATCTGTGTTTGATAGAGTATTAAGAATTTTGTTTTTACTTGTTGCGGGCAACTCGAGTTGATTGTTGACAGCTTTTGAGCTACTCACCCCATTTGACAGCTAGAAATCCTTAACAGAACGAGACAAAAATCATTATCCACAAATTGCCTTGACTTTATATTTAACAAAAAATCCTTTATAGCCAACCAAAAGTCCTTAAAAGCCAGATCAAGAGTCCCCAACTCTATTGAAGACCTGATGCTTGAGGTCGTCCGGAGACTTATTAGTTCCTTATGATGCCTGTAGTTCTTGTAAGTCGCTGGGAATGGTGTTGGTTGTTTCTTTTTCCAAGACAATGACTGGAAACTAACTGAATCCTATCCGCGGGCACGATAAACCTACCCGGATCACCCAGTGCCCAGTCTGTTACCAAGCCTCTTTTCTAACTGTTGTTGTAACCAAGGCTGGAAACCCAATAAATATTTGTTGGTGGCTGTTTTTATGCCTTAAACCAACTGCTTGTCTTTTCGTCTTGTGAATTCCTTTTCCACATCCATAACACCAGGTTTTGCATGGATCGTCTTCTATTTAAAACTAACTATGAAGCAATTTAATTTTTGATAAATAATAGAGATGAACGATGAGCTTCGATTTGGGCCCAACTTGTTTAAGTTCTGGGGCTGGCTCTTACTCAAAAGTTTCTTATTTATAGAAACAATTATGATTTAGCTCAGAATTGGCTCGTTTTTTTTTTTTTGGCAACTGGCTTGGCTTACGCTTCAGTTTAACGTTAAATTAAATGTTGATTCCGAGCTCATTCGATTCCAGTTTGCAGCCAGAGTCATTGCCGACTGTAAACAGAGTATTGTGCAGTCGATGCTTGCTGTTAGCTGCCTGATGTTTTGTCAATAAATCAATTTCGTTAAAAACATAACACGCATACGCCACGTGGCAACCGTTTTTGCTATGGCTGTTGCCTTCTGGCATTACATAGTTTTTCAATATGCCTCCGACTCGGCTGGCGCTGTCAATAACATCATTTTGTGGCAGGGTGGCGGCTGCAGCGCGATAAGCAAATTAATTTTTGGCGCGCTCAGTTGATAGGGGCTGCTAGGGGAAAGGAGGCGTGGCAGCAGCGGCTACCCTAATTGTGCCCGTCGGCAAAGTTGCCGTCGTCGTCGTCTGCTTGGCTGCCTGATTCAATTTCAGATAAGCAAAATAAAGCAGCAGGCAGCAGCAGCAAGCTGCACATGCGACCAAAGACAAATGCGATGGGACACATTATGCACTTCACCCGCATAACAAGAGGCACACACACACACACACACACGCATACTCTCTCTATAGCCGGAAATGACGCGCTGTCTGCTGCTGGCTCTGATCCCGTGTTACCCTCTGCTGCTGCTGCTGGCGTTGATGCATCGATGCTGTTGACTCGTTGCCGCTAAATGTTTGTTTAGCAACTGCAACAGGACAACTCCAGAGAGAGAACGCCCAGGCCAAATATATCGTTGCGCCAGCCTCCATTTCCTGGCTGACATTGAGCGACAGCAGTCGACAGACAGCCACATGTGGCCGGGGCACGACACGCCTACTTCTGCTGGTATCATGCACGGAGGGCCAAATAATATTTTTGGCTCAACTGCCATAAATAATATTTTGTGGCCCGCTCATACACATACACACACACGCCCAGACATGCCCACAAAGGCCACACAGCCGCCAGCCCTCAATCTGTTGCCTGATTTAAACGTGGCTGACTTTTACCAATTTTGTGGGGCTGTGCCCCTCAAGCAGCCCGCCGCTGACCCCCAAGCAAACAGTTTATTAAATTTGCATAAATGCTCGAATGGAAAATGCTGCACGGCCAGGCCACATGCAGCACAGTGCACGTGCCACCTATTTGGGCAGCTCGCTGCCAGGCAACAGCTGCCGCCAATGTCCCGACTGCCAGTTCATTAAGCCAGCGTTCCAATTAGTCTGTCACACACTTGCTTTATGGCAACAGCAGCAAATGTAAAATGGGGAAAAAACCTTATGAAATTGAAATCAAATTCAATTTGAAACTTGCCAGGAAACATATCAAAGACAAGCCATAAGTAAATGAGCAGAAGCACAGCAGTACACAAAAAGTAATACACAAATATCTCAAAAAAACGAATTCCGAGCTAACCAAAAAAGAAGTAGTAAAATATACCCAGCTGCTCGACTTGCAGTTACCCTGTAAATATCGTATCTTTAAAAATACTTGCCTACTTTTTATACTTTTAACCCAAAAACTTGTGCTGAAAATCGATATTTATCGATTTCGGAAAAGGACAGTAAGAGCAACCGCATACTGGAAGCAAACATGATTTGACCAACAGAATTGAATCTCAAATATGAAGTCTTTAGCTTTTAAGATCTCTGAGTCTTCATGCCAGACAGACAGACAGACAGACAGAGACACGGACAGAGAGGCAGACAGAGAGAGGGACATAGTTAGTTCGCCTTCTCTGCTGATGTTGATCAAGAATACATTAACTTTATGAATTGGCTGCAATTTATATACATTTGTACAACTTTAACACACCATTTTTTGCCCATTTTAATGGTAACACAACTTTAATATACCCTTTTCTCATGCATTATCAATGGGTACAGTACCGCAAAGTAGACTAAAATTTTTGATTTGTCCTTCATTTGCTTGTCGAAAGTTTGTCTTAAATTAAAGTTGGCGGGCATTTTTGGCTGGCAAGAATAAAATTCCATGATTTTCTATCGTTAAGTATAATAATATCATACGAAGATCCTAAGTTTTCCAAAATATCAGAAAACGCCGCAACATGTTTGCATATAAAATCTAAAGGCAGACAAATGGGTACAGGATATTATCCTATTGAACAGATTTACGTTTTGTTATCTCTTTATGTTTTGGGATTAGCATTGATCGCATAAATAGCATTATTTACATAGAATTCATATTTCCATACGAGCTCAGAAATGTCTGCAAAAAAATAAATCTATAAAAGCTGCAGCAAACATGTTCAGCTAAGCTTTTTGATGCTGTTTACATAGCCAAGTGTGTGTGTGTGTGTGGTGCCGTGTAAATTGTGTAAAAATGAGCTTCGCACTGTGTGAAATCAGTGTGCAATGCGCCGTGAAATATGCAAAGAATGTTTGCTTAAGCAGCCTAAAAGTATGCAGCGCTCGCGCCTGTTAAATTATGCAGCAATGAGCAAACAATTGCTGTCAGGCTTGCCAGGTAAAGGCAACCGCCAAATGAAAGCTGCACCGCCGCCGCCGCGTCTCATTGTCAATGTCGCCTTAAATTATGCCACACACACACACACACAAACACACAAACACACGCATACACGGACACGAAGCGCACACAGCTGTAGTCTACTTTCAGACGCAGCCATTGTGAACAGCCAGACAGACTTTTCAAAGCCACTGACCCCAAAAAAGGGAAATAAAAATAAACGAAAAAGAAAAATAGCAGGAAAAACATTTTTTGGCGTGCCAAAGACTAAATACCCTATCAGATAAAGACTATATAATATACATATATTTATTAAATATGCCTGACATTTTTATACATGAGCACAACACAAAGTTTCCATAGAAAATCTCACTTTAAAGTTTCCTTGGAAATTATATGATATGGAACTCTGCGCTCTTAAAGGCTGTTTGGTTAAGATATTTTGTGAAAAAAAGTATTTCGTACATTTAATTTGTATCGATAGATAAAAAGATTTAGCGAATTGATAAGGACTTTGCTATAAGCAGGTAAATGCGATTTTTCATATCAGAAATTGTCGTATGACAACTATAAGATATAGTAGCCCGATTTTGGTAAAATATGTAGGGAGCATATTATATATAACAGATGTCTAGTATGGTCGAGAGCTTATTTTTAGCAAACCCTTCCTATGGCAACTATATGATAGAGTAGCCCGATATGGATAAGATATATAGAGAGCATATTTAATCTAACAAATGCCTAGTTTGGTCAAGACATCTTTAAAAACGAAAAAAAGTTATTCATACAAGAACTTTATCTTCGGCCAATCGTTGACATGGCAGCAACTATATGATATAGTGACACGATCCAACCGACTTCGGCTTGAGCCAAAAAACGGATTTATGCCAAGTTCTATATATATATATAGCCCGAAAAATAAGAGACTTGCTTGGAAAAGGACTGAATTGTCTACATCAACACAACTCTCTATGCTGACCAAGACAATATAAGTGGCTTATAGCCTCAGCGCTGCTTTCTGCAATGCGTCGCACACTTCGTGACAATGTGTGCATACCCTCTCTGGCAGTGTATGGAAAGGCAGGCGTGGCGAACATGATCTCAACATGCGCGCACAAGTGCAGCTGAATTATCGCCGCCTGTTCTCAGTTTCCTTTATGCCCACATAGTTTTTTTTTTGCAGTTGTACTACTGTTAGTCCTGCGGCACATTTCCGCTTAGCACGCCACTTCCGCATCCGCCGCATCCGATGCCTTGCAACATTTTTAGCGTCCGTCGCGTGCAATGCGAGTCGGCGTCTGTGACTGCGACTGCGACCTCCTCCTCCTCCTGCTCCTGGTCGGCCTTCAATTTATGCGGCAGCCTTTTATGGCCAGCCCTTTTCTTTGGGCGCACTTCTCTCTGGTAATTCCTAGTCCAAGCATCCGCTTCCTGTTTAAGTGCAGGCGCAAAACTTTTTGTCTAGTTGCGGTTTTTGGTAATAAATTCTTGCGCTTTTCTTCCTCCTTTTTTTTGCTTTTTTTTCGCTTGTCTGCGGCACGCCCACGCCCGCCTTGTAACCCAGCTTACAAGGTGTTTAAATTGTAGTTAATTTTGTTGCCACTTGAACGCGCTCTGCCTTTGTACACAGATCCTTTAATGCAACGGCTACGGCTTTATTTTCAGGTTAAGCGCCTGACCATGGGTCTGCTGCGCCACAACGAGGAGTCACGCCCGCTGGTGGCAAATGTCACCCCGCTGAGTGCAGCTGCATTGCTGAAAGGCGAGAACAGCCAGCCCATCTACTCGAACGGTTACATCAATGAGGACTCGTACATCGATAGCAAATTCGGAGACTCTTGCCGCCAATCCCTGACAGCCATACCCATGCTGGACAATGTCAACCTGAACGACAACAGCGAGTTCAATCTGAAGAAGCGCTATCTGCGCGAGACCAGCAGCGGTAGGTTTCGCAGAGAGCGCTCCAAAACGGAAGATCAAATTGCAATTGCAAGCATTTCATTTACAGCCAACTCCAGTCCCAAGATCTTTGCCAATCGCCTGCGTGTTAACAATGCAGCAGCCGCAGCAGCAGCAGCAGCCGCAGCGGCGACTCTGGCAGCGAATCAGCGCAGCAGCAGCTTGGCGAACACACACAGCCACGAGCAGGATGTGGAGGAGGAGTCGGATACGGAGCTGAAGGATGCCTGCTGGTATCAGGCGGGCATCTCGCGTGACATCGCCATCGAGGTGCTGCAGAGCAAGAGTCCCGGCGCATTTCTGGTACGCAAGAGCAGCTCCAAGCCCGGCTGCTATGCGCTGACATTGCGCGTACCCTCGCCGCCAGGACCCAAGATAGCCAACTATATAATACTGCGCTCGCCACGAGGCTACAAGATTAAGGTAAGTAGCTGTTTGACATTGGTTGCGATTAGTTTTGCCCATGCTCGGCCGTTGTTTAGGGCTTTCGCAAGGAGTTCTCCAGCCTGAAGGCGCTGATAACCCACCATTCCGTAATGCCGGAACTGCTGCCCGTGCCGCTGGCCATGCCCAGGCCCACAAATATGTCCTCATCGCGCCGCAATCTGGACGACTTTGATACCTACGATTCGCTGCAGATGCTGCTCAAGTATCTGCGCGCCAAGAATCTCGAAACGGAACAGTAGCCAGAGAGTTATACTCAAGTCTATACGGAACTCGGATCTCATACTAATACAATTCTAGCACAAGATTGCATTTAAGTAAGCATGAAAAGCAAAATAATTTTGCCTAAAAATATTCTATACCAAAAATGTGATACTCTATGAAAAGAAAAAGGACACAAAGCACACACACACACACACTCATACACACACATTAAATACACTACTCAACACGAATAACTGCAAATGAAACGCCTAGCTGATAAATGGTGAAAATAATTCTAGTTTAGTTTGCTTTTTTCTGCAATATGGAAAAGGAATATGGAAAGAAAATGGAAAAGGCTAGGCAGAGTGAAATTGAGAAAGACGCTATCTATTCTAGTTTCCCACCCTCCACTTCTATACATATACATTTTAAAATGATTTGTTCTGACTGATTGACGGACTGATTAGCTGACTGGGTGACTAACTGGGTCACTAGCTGACTAATTGATGGACTGACTGATTGACTGATTGACTGACGGACTGACAGACTGACTGACTGACTAACTAACTGACTGATTGACTGACGGACTGATTAAGCAACTGAATGACAGATTGGTGATCAACGCATAGGTAAAACCTAAGAAGACGGGATTTGGCTAGTTTCACCTGCAATTGTGGAACACAGGCGAAAAAAGATCGTATGAAGCTTGTTTGTTTTTCATACAAACGGCTTCAAACTCACTTTCAAAGAGCTTTGTCAAAATGCACTTGAGATAAGTTTCATACTTTTCGAAAAATCTGGATAGTGAAAATTAAAGTTTTTATTTTCTAAGCTCTAAAGCCTGCAGAAAACATGTTTCACCAATTGATGACTGAAAATTGTTTTGGAATTGGTTCACCGATTGCTTGTTGACCACGAACAATTTAACTAACTTAAACTCTAACTCTTACCTTATTTGTATTGATTCTCTGACTTTTTCCAATCCAATTATGCATTTCATTATTCAAACATTTTCCATTGCGCAAAACCTGGCAAAAAAAAAAATCAAATAAAAATTATACTAAATAATTAATATAATAATTAATTAAAAATGATATATATGTATTACAAATTATATGTTAAATGTTGTTGCTGCTTCAATTGTTAAGCGTAAATAAATGTACTAAGCAAAAATTGCGTATTTTAAATTAAGATAAACAAATTGCAGAAAATAAAACCTAAATATGTATATAATTCACTACCGTAACATAATTGAGTAAATAAAGTTATTTAATTTATATACAACCAAAAAAAAATAATGAAATAATATAAATAAAACATCCCACACATAAATGAAAATACTCGAATTTTAATAATAGTAATCAATTTCTCATTATGCAAATTTTGTGCACGGCAGCTGCGCGGCCAAATAAATTTTCGCACGTTAATTATGGGTTGGCCTTTTAAGAGCGACATAATTTCTGATTTATATTTATGGCCATGTCATGCGTAACCCAATTCCGCATGGAATTTGAAAATTGTATTTTGTCGAAAACTAATTAAAGTTTTGCGCAAAGGTTTGGTCTATAAAGCTATTTCGAGCAGTTGTCCGTTCTGTCGTTACGTTAGTTAGTTGAGACGTTTACAGTAGATGAACGCTTCAACTCGTTGCGAATTATAAGCGAAAAACGACGAGGAGTTTAGGTATGCTAGTTTTTAAAACATGTCGCGATTATCTTTGTTACGTTGAGCATTTTGAATGGATTTTACTTTGTCATTTGAATCAGTCTGAAGACTATTTACATTTCTTTTCGATTCGAAAACTATTCGTTTTATTTTTATTAAACATCGCTACGTGAACTTAAGCCTTAGTTTAAACTTTCTTCAATACTTATTATTTACTTCTCAATACCTAAGCTCTGTATTATTAATCCACACTTGAGGTAAGTATAGAGTTAATTTTTTAAAAATTTGTAATAAGTATATTCCCTAGGTTTAAGAACAAAAGGTAAAACAATTGCAGCCCCCGCTTTTGGCCATTTGTGTTGAACAATTTCCCGTCTGTTGTTGGCCTAATCACCGTCATTATACAATTTTAATTTGCTCAACTTTTAATCGAAAAGCGAAAGGGAGTGGCAGAGCTGCGGTCCGGCTAAAATCAAAGTCTCGGCCTGGCCACGTAGTAATCCCTTTTTTAATTGCAACCTCGTCGGCCAAAGACTTTTTCCTCTTTCCTCTTTCAGTTGTCGCAAAAGTTGTAGCAAATCTTTTGCGCCGGGTGAAACTTTTTAGCCAACAGCGATTTCTTTTTACTCCGATTTTATTTCTGTAGCTTTACTTTTTGCTGCTTTGCTTGTTTGGTGTCAAAGTGTTGGCGACTTTTTCTGCCTTGCTTTCATGTTTTTGTACAAAGAAGAGAAAATAGAAAAGAAAAGTTGCGCTTTGTTGCAATTATCGGGCTCGCTACACACGAATGCGTGCGTAAATAAAATTTGAAAAAAAAAAGAAGGCAAAAATATCCATTCAGAGCGAAAACCATTTAAATAATTGGCGGAATTGGCAGTTGGACAGCGGGAATTGCCCTACTAAGCAGCCTAAAGTATTCATGAGCCAAACTTTTCGTCTTCAATTTACGTTATATTTGTCAATTGTTGCCGTGACAAACAGGAAAAGTGCGAGGGTCGTGGGCTGTGGGGCTGGGATGAGGGTTCTGTCATTCACTTGGCTGTTTCTGACAACTTGCCATTAAATATTTAATAAGCCAAAGTGGCCAGGGAATGATAACAACAACAGCAACAAGAGTGCTCTAGTAGAAAGTGCTCGACTAGAAGTTACTCTGTGACTTGCGTCGGCATACATATTCAAGCTTCCTTCTCTATATACACATAAATATGGCAAATAAACATATACTAACACACACACATACACCTAGACACTTAGTGTACTTTATACAGCTCATGTGCTTCTTCTATCCTTAGTCGCACAATGTGTGGAATGCATCATTGAATAACTCTATTGACCTTATACAGTTTTCAGGGCTTAAATATAGTATACACGAAGGGAAGTATTCAAAAAGTTGGGAATGCTTCCAGCTCGTACAGTCTCTGAGATCGTCGCACTCAGAGACAGCTTGGCTGGATCTACTCGGTTGTTGATGATGTTCTCGAATATATATATACTTCATTCAATCGGAGATGCTCCTCTCTATCTGTTATTTATACCTGCAAAACCATTAAATCATCCCCTGCCCATTTTGAATGGCTACAGGGTATTAAAAACAACAACACAAATGTTGAAAATCAATTATGAGCTGCTGCTGATGCTGCGGCAGCTTCGAGTCGACTGCTTATAATTCTTAAGTGGTTTATGCATGTCCTTCAATAAGTATGAAGAGTTTTTTTTCTTAATTGAACATTTTCCAATCGTCCCGTCGCCATTTACTTAATGAGCGCTGTTTGCTTGCGGGGCCGAAGGACAAAGGCAAATAAAGTAGCCGGGCCGTAAGCAGAAGCTGCGGCGCTTGGCTTCAAGCTGTTTAAGTCTGGGTGGGCATTGGGATGGTCCTGAAGCTGCAGGGGGTGGGGGGAGGAGAAGTGGGTTGATGTCCTTGCCCGTGGCGATGTCTTTTCATATTTGTATTATTTACCAACATTATTTTGCGCTTCACTCTGTCTCTCTCTCTCCAGTTATTGCATTTCTTTGTTTGCAGCTCTCAGCTTTTAAAACACCCCTCGCACGCCCATTCGCCCAGCCCCGCCCTGCCCTCCCCGTGTATTCAGTGCCTGCTGCAGCTGAACAATGGCGAAAATTATTGCTCGCTTATTTGCGCTGCGTTTTCCTCATTTGTCAGCAGCCGTCGCCTTTTGTTGTCGCATCTCTGAAAATTGCCAGCATTTTTTCTTGTATTTCGCTTTTTTGCTCACATTTTTGAACTTTTTCATTAGGCTAATTAAAAATGTTTGACTGTGGTTTGGGCTGCTTTTTCGCTGTCTTGAAAGTTTTTCCCGTTCTTTCAGCTATATTTTTTTTTTTAATTTTTGGGCTATCTGTAACACATGCGAGCTAAACGCGGCGACAGACAACAACTTTTTTGTAAGTTTTATTTAAATGGATATAAATGCCTGCAGCAACGCTTTGTTAACTGAAATGAGAGTCGAGTGCAGCCAGAGCTCGAAGCGGCAAATGGAAATCCGAATTATGAGTGGAGGACATATCAAGTGGATTTTTAAAGCATTAAAGCATGACTACAGCTTGAACTTATACTAATTTAAAGTTAGCTTCTGCTCCCATTGAATCATTTATATAACATGGTGGAATACAGTCAAGAGTGCTCAAGGTGGGAAAAGTATCCACGCTCGAATACATTGATGTTAATCGATTTCAAGCAAATAAGGGAGTTATCGATAATAAGTAAAAATAATATCGATATAACATGTACATACATGTGGTGTATGAGACATAATTTGTTGATTCAAGTATTATACAGTTTATAGGAACGGAGCTGCCTATTCCTTTCTGTTAAAGAAGGGCATAGGTTTTAGGTTTTTGCTTTTTTTAGTTTCTACAGAAGTCATTTTATACAAATTTTGTTTTTATAAAGGACGATTTGATACGTTTTTGCAGATATATTGGGGGAATAGAGTAGGCTTTGGTTGTGCCAGCTTTGTCGCCTTTTCTTGCTTATAATTCTCAAATGGTTAAAGCTGCGCTCTGGGGACAAGGTCTTTCGAGAATCGATATCAATGGTTGTTGGTAATTGAAACAAGAGGTTCAGGGATAGATATACGGACAACCTGCTCACTTTTGATGGTTAAACTTTGTTGCTCTTGAACGATATGCCCCACATTGACCTCGAGAACAGACTGACAGATAGATAGAGGAGGCTATATATCCTAATGGACATTTAAACTGACCATGAATATATTTCTACTTTAAGGAAATGTAAAGCGAACCATTCTGAAGCTGCATGAAGCGAATCTGCCACTGAACTGTTTTTAAACAATTCAAAACTGTCGCAACTTTTTAGTCATAACTTTCGGAATGCAACTGACGCGTTTGCAGTTTGCAATAGACTTAAATCCAACTAAAAACCACAGAGCTATCCAACATTTTGTATTTTTGTGTCGCTTAACTTTGGCCGGCATAAGAGTAAAAAAACTGAAAACTTTTGTCGAGCCCATAAAAAAAAAGACGCTCACAAAAAAGTTGCATACTTTGAGGCGTCGCGACGTCTTTGCTGAGATTAAGGCGACAATTTCGAGTGCTGCTCGGTTCGGAGGTTGTCATTAAAACTACAACAAAATTGCTGCCAGAAAAAAAAAAAGAATATTATATGAGAGCAAAACAATAAAAAGCAAAAGCCCAGAGTTTTTCTCTTTTTTTTTTCTTTACTTTTTTGTGTGTGTTCACAGGAAGTTTTTTGGCAAGGATATGCTTAAGTGGCAGTAACAGTTTTCATGCAAATATTGTCTGGGGAAATGTTGGACTATCAAAAGAACGAAAGAAAAGTAAAACAAAAATATCAAAGCACAAGACAGAACGGATAAATACGGAACGTCGAAGACCAAATACTCTTGTGGCGCACAAATGATTTTAGGTGTAGGCTTTATTCCTATAGGAACTATATGATAAAGTAGATAGACTTGAGACGATATTACCAATATGTTAGTGTGAAACTTCTAGTTACTGAGTTATTTGAGGAGATATTGAAAAGCAGAAAAGTTTTTAACTTAGTTTTCGACTGATGCTTCAGATATGATATATGACATGTATCGAGAGAATGGTAAAATTCGAGAAAGCTAAGTTTGCTCGCGGATCATGAAAAACAAACAAGGTTCTTCACACAAGACTTTAATTTTTGAGTATTCTTTACCTTTGCAACCATATAAAATAGTTCTACGTTCCGTCCAAATCTAACATAACTCTGCCTGCAACGGGGAAACGAATCTTTCATGATGAAAGCTTTAAGATAAATAGATTTGTTTTCATACACAGACAGACAGGCGTGGCTATATCGAATAGAGAACATAAATATATATACTTTATTGGAGCGGAGACTTCTTCATCTGAGCGTTACACATTGAATGTTAAAATTTTAATACTCCCTGCAAGTGTCTGGGAAAAACGGGGGAAAATGCTAATCTCGTCTGGCGTTTGTCAGTTGCTGGCATGCTTAAAGTGTCTAACCGTAAAATCGAGTCCTTAAAGCCAATGCCAATCTGGCCAAATTGCTGGCTGGCTCTTTTGCATATCCCCCCTCCCTCCTTCTCCCTGCCCCTCCCCCACCCCCTCCATAATTACCAGAGTGCAGGAACTGCAGCTGACAGGCGGACGCATTCTGGTGGGCGCTGTGATTATGCCTGGCTGGCCAAACAGGACACCTCATTAATTTGCCAGGCTGCGGCAATAACAATAACAGCTATTTGGCCATTCGGGCTCATTGACTGCCTGATTTTATGGCCCTGCCACTGCGGCACATCGTCTCATGTCCAAAATCAACATCAACATCAACATTGACCCAGCAGCAGTTTGTGGTATTGGTAGCTACTGCTGCTGCTGCTGCTGCAGCTGCAGCTGCCGCTCCAGCATTGCCAAATATGTTTTTGTGGCATTTTTGGCCAATTGGCAGAGTTTGCCCCATGCCCGAGGCCAATCGCATGCGGCAGACAAAGATGTGAACGTGGCTCCTGCCCCTTCTTACGGCTCGGTCCTCACATCTCCCTGATTATGCCGCAATGTTTGCCAGTTTCGAAGCTGGCTTCAACCAGGCCACGCTGTTGACTTGTTTGCCTAACCCAAATTGCATGCTATTGACCAAAATTCAACATTTCCTCGTGACATGGCAGCCGGCTAGAGGCCAGCGGATGGCTATATGCAGCAGTCAGCAGTCAGCCAAGGATCGCCAGTTGGCGTCGCATTCGCAATTTTGCATTAACTTTTCCACTTCGATGGCACTTGAAAGTTTTCCAAACACTCTCCGCCAGCCGGTTCGATCAACTTTAAGTAGCGCCAAAAGGAATTCCACAACTGGTGGCAAGAAAACAATAAAAACAAAAACAATGCGAATGCAACAAAACATTTTTGCAGTTTCTCACTCGGTCGAGAGGCGGTTGCTGCTAATGGAAGAAGGGTTTGCCTTAAGACGTATTGAATATGTGCAATCAGAGCGATTGATGTAGACCTTTCAATATGTCAATACCCAGTACCCATTTAAAATGGGTTAGGGAAGTGCAAATGGCGAGGGCAGTTAACCCTCGGCTCCTTAAGTACAAGAGTAGTCCACCCCATTCCTCGAGGAACAACGAAACAGTTTATGTGCCGCTTTTCCATCCCCAAGACACTGCTAAAGTCTAAAATGCTTTTGTGGCTTTGCTTGATATGATAGGTCCAAAAGGAGATAGACGCCAAGGAAACGAAATCTAGTTTTTGAAATAGCTAGACAGTCCATTTACTCGGCTGGCCATGCCCATCTTCCTAACTTTTCATAACAAACGTATATATTTGAAATTGTGCCTCATAAGCTATTATTGTCTTTGACATCGACATTGAGAGTTGGACAGCTTATGACGCACAATTTTATATATAGACTAGCGGGAATACCCCGGCCTTACCCGTGATACGTATAGAATAAATTCTCTCAAAGATCAGACAATAAGCCAATTTCCCACTGTTGCGGGCGAAATTTCCCAAATCGCTGATCTTATTTAGAGCTTTTAAAATAAGTTTAAAGCAAATCACACAAAACCTAATTATTTAGATGCCAAATTGAATTAGTGGCCAAGCCATAAGCACACAGTAAAACCTGATGATCATTTGAATTGTGATCAATTTATGGGCGGAGGACCTACGTCTGTATACGTTATTTGAGGGTACAATTTTCCCATTAATTAGGACCAAGAATAAGGCTGCCAGATTTAGATGCCAAATTGATCTAGAGGACAAACCATGAGAAAAATCAAAACCTTACCAAAATCGGTTGAGTTTTGGCTAAGTTAAGGGGTTGGGCAATTTTGCCCTATGTCTACACAGGATATTTGAGGGTACCATTTCCACATGAATTTGGACCAGGAAACATGTTTCCAGATTTAGATGCCAAATTGATCTAGAGGCTAAACCATGAACAAAGAGCCACACCTCGTGAAAATCGGATGAGATTTAACCGAGTTATGGGGGTGGGAAATTTTGCCCTATGTCTGTCTATACGGGATATTTGAGGGTACAGTTGTTACATGAATTTGGACCATTTGCCAAATTGATCTAGAGGCTAAACCATGAAGAGCCACACCTCGTGGAAATCGGATGAGATTTAACCGAGTTATGGGGGTGGGAAATTTTGCCCTATGTCTATACGGGATATTTGAGGGTACAGTTGTTACATAAATTTGGACCAGGAAACATGTTTCCAGATTTAGATGCCAAATTTGTCTAGGGGCTAAACCATAAACAAAGAACCAAACCTCGTGAAAATCGAATGAGATTTGACCGACTTATGGGGGTGGGAAATTTCGACCTATGTCTATATAGGATATTTGAGGGTACAGTTGTTACATGAATTTGGACCAGGAAACATGTTTCCAGATTTGGATGCCATATTGAAATATAGGCCAAACCATGAACAAAGAGCCAAAACTCGTGAAAATTGGATAAGATTTGACCGAGTTATGGGGGTGGGAAAATGTGACCTATGTCTATATAGAATATTTGAAGGTACCATTTTCACATGAATTTTGGCCAGGAAACATGTTTCCAGATTTAGATGCCAAATTGATCTAGAGGCTAAACCATGAACAAAGAGCCACACCTCGTGAAAATCGGATGAGATTTAACCGAGTTATGGGGGTGGGAAATTTTGCCCTATGTCTATACGGGATATTTGAGGGTACAGTTGTTACATGAATTTGGACCAGGAAACATGTTTCCAGATTTAGATGCCAAATTTGTCTAGGGGCTAAACCATGAACAAAGAACCAAACCTCGTGGAAATCGGATGAGATTTAACCGAGTTATGGGGGTGGGAAATTTTGCCCTATGTCTATACGGGATATTTGAGGGTACAGTTGTTACATGAATTTGGACCAGGAAACATGTTTCCAGATTTGGATGCCATATTGAAATATAGGCCAAACCATGAACAAAGAGCCAAAACTCGTGAAAATTGGATGAGATTTGACCGAGTAACGGGGATGGGAAATTTTGACCTATGCCTATATAGAATATTTGAGGGAACCATTTTCACATGAATTTTGGCCAGGAAACATGTTTCCAAATTTAGATGCCAAATTGATCTAGAAGCTAAACCATTAACAAAAAGCAAAACCTTATGAAAATCGGTTGAGTTTTGACCAAGTTATGGGTGTGGGATATTTTGACCAGAAGCAAAGTCTTTGCGCAACGCAGCTTGCAGCATGAGTTGTGTGTATTTGTTTATTCTTTTTTATATAAAAGCAAGCGAAAAAATGTTTAAAGACTGCTTAGAGCTGGGTTCAGGGTATTCCCTAGTCGGACCCTCCCGACATACAACAATTTTTTTTAAAAAATGAAAAATGTGAACCACTGAAAAAATGTCTCTTTGTTACAGAGTGTAAGCAACATGTAACCAGCCTATTAAAAAGAACCAAGATAAGATTTAATTAGTATTTAAACAATGCACACGTTAAATCTAAATTTTTTCGCTAAAAGTCTCTATATAGACAAAGTTTAGGCCCATAAATAACAAGGGATCAGCTGATTTATGTAAGTTACTTCAGCAGCTAATTGAAAAGCACAGAGAAACATTTCGTATAAAAGAGCGAGCTGAGTTAGAATAGAGAACTAGTTAATTAGTGGGTATGAAGATAGTACTAGCAATTCTTTGCTTGGCTTTTGCCAGCTCCAGTGGAACCAAGCTACCCATTGGCCCGCAGGGGCTACCACGCATTCCGCTCAAGGATCTGCCCAATTTCTATGGCATCGAGGGACGCATTATCAATGGCTTTGCGCCTGCCGAGGGCAAGGTTCCGTATATTGTGGGGCTGAGTTTCGAGTTTAGATACTACGGCTGGTGGTGCGGTGGTTCCATTATAGGCAACACCTGGATACTGACAGCTGCGCATTGCGCAGAGCGGGCGGAGTCAGTGAGGATCTACTACGGCTCCAACAAGCTCGAACAGGCTCAGCTAACCCATGATGTGTCAAGCGGCGATATACTTCCGCATGCGGAGTACTACAGAGGGATCGACTTGAAAAATGATATCGCACTCATACGCACGCCCCATGTGAAATTTACGGACCACATCAAAAAGCTGGAGCTGGGCGAACGTGGCAATAGCTATGCGGGCAGGTGGAGCACAGCCTGCGGCTGGGGCAAGACCGGAATATACAATGGGCAGCCAAATTATTTGCAGTGCGTCAACCTGAAGATTATCAGCACTGATGAGTGCTCCCAACAAATTGGCCCACTTGGAGTGCCCACGGAGGGTATTCTCTATGTCAGCACTGCGGCTGGCAAGTCCTCCTGCAACGGTGACTCGGGTGGCCCATTGGTCACCCACGATGGCTTGAAGCTGGTCGGCATCAACTCCTTTGTGCTCAAGAGCTGCCAGAGTGGCCTGCCAGGTGGTTTCACTCGAGTCAGCGACTACCGGGACTGGATACGCGACAATGCTGGCATCGAGTAAAACCAAACAATCCGGCAAGGATTACCAAAGCGTATGCGATCTACAGTTGACAAACAAAAATCAAAACAAAATATAAAACAATTCCTGCTTCCACAAATAATACATGTATGAATGCCATTCAGTCTAAATTATCTTCGGGTTTATAGTCCGATCTTTATTAAAATTTGCATTTTTATATGCCGAAGCCCGGAGCTCACACCCTATAACAATCTCTTTTGTCGAATGTTGAGGGGCATGGGGGAAAGCCCCAATTAACTTGCATATACAATACGAGAGACAACACACCAATTTGAATGTATCTAGCTCTTATTCTCTTCGAGTTATGCCTTGAAAACCATATCTGAAGATCGATATTTATCGATATTATGTTTTTGAAAGCAGAATTCGAAAAGCCATGATAACATAGTACTGCATATGGTTTAGGAGAATATAAACTATAAATATAAACTTTTCTAGATCCGAGTTCGACATGTTCACAAAAGCGATCAGCCAGGCGAACAATGCACAAAGCCAATATACACTCTTTTCACTCTGTGAACTAGTATTATAATATCTGTTGCCATTACAATGCTTTATCTATGATTGCAGCAGTCGGATAGGGCAATCGGTTCAATCAGTAAATGCGTCAAAGTGCTGCAGGGAGTACAAACAAAAATAACGCTGAACTATATTCATATGCTGCATACTCAACACTCATTCACAGCGTGCGGCATTAATGCACTACGTTTGCTAATGCAACAAAAACAACAATAACAAAAACAACAATAACAAAAACAACAACAACATCAAGAGCTTGTGGGAGCTGTGGGGGCAGTTGTTGACAGAGTGTCGGCGACTGCAAACAAAAGCCAGTTAAAGCAACAGTAGCTGCCTTCTTAGCAGCCACACACTAACACACACGCACACGCAGACACACACATGCTGACATATAGAAAGAGTAGCACACACACACACAAACTCACACACACACACACGCGCGCGCGAACTGGCATTCATTTTTGCTCTTCGCCATTGTTGCAGCTGCTCATGACGTGGCCATTGTTGCTGCTGTACTCTATTGTTGTTGTGCCAGCACACACACACACACACACACACACACACACACACCTACACACTCATACACCGCCACACACATTTACATACTCATAGAAAGCTAGCCGGGCTTTTTGTTTAATTCGTTTTTCTATTGTTCACAGGCAAGAACTTTAGTCCACAGGCTTTGGCAACATTGTTAAATTGTTGCTATCTCTATTCAGTCGCACTCTTCTCTCTCTCTCTCTCTTTATCTCTCTCTATCTCTTTCTATCGGTTTATGGCATGCAGATTTTGCATTTCCATGGCACAAAAGTTGAAAGCGAGGACATTATTGAATATGCGTTGCCGTTGTCCCATTGTTGGCACACACACACACATGCACACACACACACACACACACACACACACACACACACACACTTTAGGCCAGGCACTGCAAACAAAGGTGCAGCTTAGCGCGCATTTTGACCATTGAAATTTATACGCCGCTTTCACACATTGCCGAGCCGCACATTAAAGCCAAAGAGCCACAGCTACACAGTGTGTGTGTGTTTGTGTGTGTGCGTGTGTGTGATAGAGCGCTGCCAACTTTGCTCGATTTCAAGAATGTTAAGGTCAGACACTGCCAACTGCTTCACCCATTCGTTTATTTATGTTTTTCTGGCGTTTTGTTTGCCGCTCGCTCTAATAAATTAGCAGCTTTACCTTTGAGCCCCAGCCCCGCCCTAAACACAGGAAACCAATAGCAATTTATCGCAGCAGCAAAGAAAGGCACGTACCGACAACTCTGGCTGCTGCCTGTAGGGGCCGTGGTCGGGAGGGGGAGGAGGGACTTTCGAATGTGCACACCTTATCGCCCGGCTTAAGCGAGACGCACATCCAGCGGGAGACAGTCGAGGATTTGGCAAAATAGTTCTCTCCCGGACACTCTCGCCTGACTAACGAGGCGACAATAAAAATTGCCCTGGCAATTGGCACATTGCGGTGGCAAGTTAAAAGGGATTTGCCATTTTAAATTATGGTATCATATGGGACGAAGCGCATAAAATGGAGAGGTTAACAATGGGAGAACTAAGCACATGTGGCTTAGAGATGGACAATATTCAGTTCATGAGGAACTTCTATTTCAGGTTGAACAACTTTTAATGTAATAATAAATTAAAAAAGAATTATCAGATAGAAAATGATGTTTAAGCAAGTAATTGCTAAATATAAAAACAATTATTCACATTTTTAAAATGCTGTGGGATTTGAACCAACGACCTCTCACTTGCCAGTTCGCGCCTTAGACTTATTATCTATTACACATAACCTGTTGAACTCATATTATTCCCATTTTACACATAGTTTATGCATAAAAGAATTGTAAATTATCTAGAAATTAGAATACTTTTAAAAGCTTACAAAATACTATACAAAAACAAACAAATTTCTGTGATGAATGCCTATTAGAAAGCCATGCACTAAGTTCTTCAACACATCTTAAATTTTCCTCAACCTAAAATTCAGTCTTTTAAGGTTTAAATAAAACCCCACAAGGCAAAGTTTCCTAATTATGCTGCTAATTTGGAGGCCTATAGACTGCCGCCTTCGTTGCCATGCCCCAAAAGTTTAATATGCCTCAACTTAAACTGCAGAAATTGAAAACTCTTGGATGGCAGGATGGTACACGCTCAGGTGTAAGCAAAACAAGAAGTTCAAACAAAAGATGTATTTCAATAGCGTGCCGCTTGAGATTCTCGGGTCTTAGATTGCGGGCAACGGAAATGCTGGCCAAGATTTATCGTGCGTCCATTACAAGCGGAAATTAAGCGCGGCAGGTCGCCAGGCGACGCTTCAAGGCGAGCGTGCGTGAAAGCGTTTTCCCGTTTTCCCGGCAGCCCGCACAACCAACAACCAACAATCCGACTCCTCCAGCAGTCCTGGCCATAAAGCAACTGCGGAACGGACACACGAACCCAAATTCCAACTGGCCAAAGCAAAGCTATTGTTTCTCAACCTGAAGCTCGTCTATTCCAGTCACGTGGCACGCAACGACAACTTGGGATTTGTTAAGTGGCGTGGCGTTTTGATGTGCGGAATGTGCAACACCCTGCTGCCCACGCGCCAGCTCCTCCAAATATATATATATATGTTTATATATATATATAGATATATATGTAACTAAATGTAAGTAAGCAGCAAATGCGCATATACATATTTTTCTTCTTTTTTTATACCCTGTAGCCGTAGAATAAATGGAAAGAAAATGAGTCCGTCAAAAAAACTGTGTTCCTAATTGTATGAAAATTAGAAAAAAAAAACATATTTTGCGTTTGTTTTGCTGAATTTAAGATTAAAGAAAGAATAAAATATCATTGAAAACTCTCTCTTACTCGGGCAGATCTTAGAATGTAATTTTTCACTGAGTATTTATACACATCAAACCCCCTATAAAAATAGTCAAAGGATCGGTTCACGGCTCAAACCAGGTTTTAGGTTCGGTACCTGAGCCTGGTTCTCCATCTATGAACCCAGGATTTTTTGTAGACCTTGCTTGGTCGTATATTTTTATGAAACAATTCAATTTATAAATAACATATAAAATATTTTCATAATTCAGTTTTTTTTCCTTCTTTGGTTCGCTTTGGTTCTTGCCTCTTTTAAATATATATATATATATATATATTGAATTTCCGGGTTCGAACCAGTTCCATTCAAACCCGTTTAAAAGCCCTGTCTATGCATTTATGAATATACATAATGGCATATTTCAATCTCAAAGCATTTTAACCTACTTTAAACCGTATTACAGGGTATCTGCCAGTCTCGTCTTTCTGCTAGACTCGCTTTTGATTTTTGGAGCGCTTCGCTGGCCTGTCACGTGTCCCGGACATTTTGCACATAACTTGTTTTAACATTTATTGCCAACTTCCTTTTGCATGTTTTTGGCGTGGTTTTTCTTTTGTTTCAGCGTTCACCTTTTGCGGTTAGTTTCCACCTATTCGAGGTAGGAGGGGGAGGACATCACTCAGCCGTCGCTGATTCGATTTGGGCGATGTGTACCTTTGCTTTTAGTGATTGAAATCGCACATTTTTAAGTGAAAAAGCGCACAGAGAAGTGCACTCAATCACTCGTCACGTGATTCCCAGCCAGTTCCCAACGAGCACAAATGATGGCTGGATAAGTGACGGGCGGGGCGAATCGGGGCGGAGAGGGGCGAGTGCCAGGCAAGTGCTGCTGCAAATGCGACTGCCGGACAGCAGCTGGAAAAGTGTTGGAGCGCGACTGTGTTTATATAAAAGATTACGTCATTGTCCTCGAGCAGAGAGTGAGAAAAACGAGGGCGAGAGTTGGGTGGAAAAGCGCTGAAAAGCGGCAAAAACAAGAGCAGCATCCGCAATGGAAATGGAGTCGCTTTGGGCTATCGCCGGCTTTGTAAGCGATGCGATAATGGCACGTAAATGTTGTCAATGCGAAATCAATAGGAAAACAGCTTTAATGAAAAATCACAACAAAATATCTAAAAAAAAAAAAACCAATTGCCATAAAATTGTAAACCCGAACAGCGAAAAACTTTTGCCAAACTTTTCTAATTTTCGCATTATGAAAATTATCTGCATAGCCACAGCCAAAAAAACGAAAAAAATTCCAACAAAGGCTACGGCTCGGCAAATGTAATTTTGAAGGGCTGCCCTTCAACGTTTCGGGTTCCTTGAGCCTACGCGAAAGGCGACAAAAATGCCACAAAGCGAAAAGAAGGAAGGAAAATAAAAATAGAATGTGGCAACGAGTAAAGCCGTGAAAACTTTTCCATTAAGAAAATTAACTGAGATTAAGTGTGGCGCATGTTTTAACTGAGTGAAAGTTTTTTCTTGTCCCTTCTGTTTCTTTTTTTCCTTTTTGGGAGGAGGGTTCCTTCGAAATTACAACAATTTCAAGGCATTTAAGCATTTGTCGCACACACACACACAGAGGCAGTTTCTGTGTAGGCCGCAGGCCGGATGTGAACCCTCCTCACCCTTCCACACACACACACACACACAGACAGCGGATGTGGATGCTCCAAGTGGCTCCCACGCACACATGAGGGCAGGCGTGGGGGTTATTTGTTGCCTGGCTGACTGCCTGACACACTTTGCTTGTTTGCTGCCGTCGATACTAATCTAATTTTATTGATATTGACACAATTTCTGCAGATTTCCGCATAAACATAAAAACAGAGGCGGGCGAAAGCAGAAGAAGCAAAGCTAAGCTTCAAGCGGCAACAACAAGAAAGGCGATTGAAGCACGCAAACAAATGAAAACCAATAAAATTGGCCATAGGGAAAGGCTGGGGAATGGGGCATAAATAAGTTCATTGAAGTCGCCAACATTGTGGAGGTAGTTAAACAATTTTCAAACCGTCTGCCAAGATGAGATTCAACTATTTGTTAGGCCTATTAAACTTTAAAAAGCAAATAAAAGTGTTCAAAAGTTTGTCGGATTTTCTTTTTAGTAAAATATATTAGAATTTCAAGTACGAAACAGTTCGATTCCAAATCGTTTACAGAGTATATCACATATTTTAATCCCAAGACATTTTAGAAGTACCTTAAAAATTCACGACATATCTTTGAAAAATATATAGATCAAAACCTAAAATGTATATATATTTCTAACAATATTACATGGGGTTTTCATACTGCTTTAAGGTCTCAAGTACCATTCAATTAAACAAATCAAAGCATTCGATTGCTCGTGTTAGCGAATACTTGAAATATATATATTTCGAGATTGTCTGCTGCACTGTCTGATAAAAGCATTACTCAATTATACCCGGAACCAAAACAATGTAAACAGACGATAGGCTCTCAAAACCCATTGATTAGTTCCCCGCGATATCATTCATTAAATAAAAACTCATATATATAATATAATGCGTTTACGATTGGAGCAACCATTTTCAGTGTCTGGTACTATTTTATGGCATACAAAGGAAATTAAATAAAATACAATAAACAATAAGCAAAGCGTTGATAAATGCTGCTAAAACCACCACCAAATCAGGGGTTAAGGCATGCAATTGAAAGCCGCCTCAATGAGCCGTCGTGTAATTAACCCAACTGCAGCGAAGACAAGTTCTATTCAATACGTATGGAAATGCTGCTGTTGAGGGTTACATACATATAGTTAATACCCTGTTTCTAGTGAAAATGGGTATATTGCCTGTAGAAGGAGATGAAAAACATATTCGGAAGGTATTTGTGTATATCTATATACGTTCCAGCTCTATTATATAGGGACTATACGACTAGAAAGTATAAGAGCTGAAGAGTTTCATTTTAAAGTGTCGATTAAATATATCGATAACTCAAGCATTTCCAGAATATCGATATATATCGATTTTAGCTTGACCTATTTTTAATCTATGTCTCAGAGATTTTGAGAGCAAGAAGAAGAAAACACAGAGATGAAGAATATTCCCATCTATGAATTCTTACACATATTTGGATGTCACATTTAAGCCCGTGAAATTCAATAAAGATCGGGTCTTATTGTAGATAGGCTGAAAATCATTGATATACCCACACATTTAGATGTATTATTTAAGCTTTGAGAATTTGATTAGGTTTATACTTTATTTTTTTAGAAGTTAGTAGTTATTCAAGATGGAAAAATGTTGTTGGCGTGTAAATCAGATGTGTACAGTACGGCTAGAATTGAGTACGAACGTATGCTAAGACAGCACGAAGCTGTGTGCAGGGTATCTACCTCGGCTAGAACACTTGTCCGACTTGTCTTTTGTTGTAGTTAAAGACGAAGGCCTAAGCAACATAATCGCTGAAACGTGTGGCAATTACATGAAACTGGCTAAAATTGAATGCCAAACAGCTGCTGATTTTCTGTGTGTCTCGGCGTGTAATTCGCAAATTCAATTAACCAAGGGGCCCGGACACGTGCCGTGTCTATAAAAACAACAAACTACTCGAGTGAAGAGCACACTCAGCAGCACTGAGATGCTTTACCCGCACGCCTGGCAGCTCTGTCTGGCCGTCTTGGGCCTGGCGCAGGCGTGGAGCACTAAGCACGATGCCAGCCCGGATCGGGAGGAGGAACTGATGTCCATACGCTGGCAGCTGGGCTACGAGCGCTGGCAGCGTCTGTGCGAGAAGTATAAGCTGCCCGAGGAGCAACAGGAGCAGCCAGCGGTGAGCACACGCATCGCACGCGGCGAACTGGCCGAGCCGGGCATGTTTCCCTACCAGGCGGGACTGCTACTCCGGCTGCGCCAGGGCGACGGCCGGCAGTGCGGCGGCTCGCTCATCAGCCTGGAGTTTGTGCTGACCGCGGCGCATTGCCTGCTCGATGCGGAGAGTGCAGGCGTCTATCTGGGCAGCAATACATATGCAGATGCCGCAGTTGCCGGTCAGGTGTTTGAGGTGCAACAGCCGAACTTCAAGGTTTATCCCGGCTATCCGGGCTTTGGGGTCCGATTGCTTTGGCGCTGGACTTTATGCAGCCGCCCCTGTTGGAGGGTCAATTGGTGAGCACTTCCGGCTGGGGCGCCCTGGGGGATGATGATGAGCTGAATAACCAGTCACCGTTCGAGGGGGAGTCCAATTTGCTGCACTATGTGGATGTGCCGGTGCTGGAGCAGGAGCTATGCATTTGCAACTTTCTGCCCGGTTTGGTTAGCACGCGACGTCACATTTGCACGGACGGGCGAAATGGACGCGGCAGCTGCCAGGGAGATTCCGGTGGTCCATTGGTCTATCTGTGGCGCAACATCAGCTATTTGATTGGAGTAACCGCATTTGGCAGCACAACGGGCTGTGAGCTGGGCGCGCCGACTGTCTACACGCGCGTCGCTGCCTATTTGGACTGGATTGCGGGCGAAACGGCCATGGGCGTGGGCGTGGCAAGCGAACAGAGCAGCAGTCAACAGTCAACTAAATGCAATTAACGCCTAATTGTTGGCCATTAATTGCTTAACAATATAGCCAGGACTCTGGCTGGCTGGCTGGCTGGCATGTCCTGACAATAAAACCAATTAGTTTAACACTAACAATGAAATCGAGTCCACGGACAGAGTTTTACTTTGCCTTGGGGTGCCATTTTATGGGCTCTTTGCTGCCAAATGGAAATTGTCAGCTATAAATAACAATCCAAAAAACATTAAAACAAACAATCAAATGGCAGCCAAATACTTGACAACATGACCATAAAAATGGCACCAAAAACAAAAAAAAAGTAAAGCCAATCGAACTTTTTTCTTTTGAATCGCAGCTAATTTCGCAATTGCTGACTTTTTTCATATTCTGCACATTTGCTAATCGCCTTTAATTGAGCATTTTCAATTGCCAATCAAGTGCACTTCCATTTGCCAGTTCAAACCCCCTGAATTCGTGTGCCAACCCCTTTGGAAAAAGCAAATCAAAGTCTCAGCTCGCGCAATCACGCGGCGACTGTTGATAAATGCGAATGACCGAAAACAATTGTTGTGGTCAGCTAAGCGCAACTGTGGTTTATTTTTATAAATAATATCAATTATTGACAGACAGTCGTTTGATACCAGTAAATGCGGCACGAAGTCTCACTGATTTCTGTTCTGAAAGTACTAAAATAATGAGGGCATGTGCACTATGAAGGACACGAGCTCAAATCTCCGTTTACATATTGTGTGCATGTTGTAATGCCTTAGCTGTAAGCTGCCTAAATTTGAGGGGTCCAAAATGCCAGATCTATAAAGAGTATTGCAGGGTTCGAACCACTGAAGTTCAAACCCAGATTACATTTTGAGCTTTGAGCTATAGAGCTTGAACTTTTAGTGAGGTTAGCTGGGCTTGCATTGTTTCATAAAAAAATTGAGAAAATATAAATAGTTTAACAGGAGACTAAAACTCTTCTAGACATTGCCTTTTGCAGAGATGTGAGAATAGTGAAGCTCGTAAAAAGTTTAATGAAAATATCTTCGATAACTGAATATTTCGCTATTCAAAAACTCATTTTGCGACCGATTCTTCCAATAGTGCTATATAATATAGTAGTGCGATATTGATAGAACTTTGCATATATGCCAGGAGCTTAGTAAAAGATATCTAAATAAACAGAAAAGTTCTTCAGACAAGAACCTACTTTTCGACCAATCGTTCCTATGGCAAGTATATGATATAGAGTTCCGATCCAGCCGATGCGGACATGTGTCTTGCCTGCAACAGAAAGACGGATCTATGCATAGTTTTAGGACGATTTTACAACTGAGAGACTAGTTCGCAAAAAAACAGACGGACAGAAAGTCGGACATGACTTTATCAACTTGGCTGTTGATGCTGATCTAGAATATGTATATACCTAATGGGCTCGAAGATATTTCCTTTAATGCATTACACATTTTACGGAAAAATTATAATATTCTTTACAAGAGTATAAATAGATTAATCAACTATAGTTTATGCACTTATTGATGGAGTTCTCGAAGAAACAAAGCTATGAATGCCCCGCTCGCCTATATATCTTAGCTCTTAGAAGTCTACATGTTTTGAAAACAACTTATACGTAATAATAATTTTTAGTTTTGATATCTCAATGCTCAAGTATGCCAAAAAAGTTAACATTTTGAGGCGCACTGACCGATAAAACGTAGTTAAGACTATTTGAATTGCGGATCTTACAAAATACTTATTGTCGATCTTACAAGTCCAGCGGAACCGCCAGCTCAACTCCTTAGCTGATAAAAATCGATCGATAAGATAGATGGGAATTAAATCTGAGACCTTTTAATGCACATCATTGAAAATACAGTGAGCACTCGCAAGCAGAGCCAACCAAAAATCGAATTAATTAGCGAGTGCTTGTTTCCCCTCTCGAGCAACTGGATCCTATCGGGCAAAAGTCAACAGCAAAAAAACCCAATCGATTAATTTTCAAAAACATAATTTGTTAAATTTATAAATAAAACCCAAGAGATTTTTGATTAAAAACAGCAGCTGCCTGTTAATATTTTTGTCGCAAATAAACTGTATCTGTCGATCAGGCAGCTCGGAAAAAAACATTGGTGCTGAAAATTTAGATAAGACTAGACTTCGACTTGGACGTCGTGACCAGACGTGACGTGTGCCCAAGTCGGGCATATCTTATCTGGTCTAATACCTGAAACGTAGCCTAATCTTGGCGAGCAATATTTAGTGAATTGCTATAAAAGTGGCACTGTGGCCGGGTAAACAACCAGTTGAGTTCCAAGTAACTAAAACAACATGAAGTTCCTGATCGTTCTTGCCCTCGCCGTGGCCGCTTCGGCTTTCCCCCAAAGCGAGCTGGTGCACCGCAGCCGTGCGATGCCCGTCGTGTCGGATGACATTGAGGGTCGCATCACCAATGGCAACAAGGCCTCCGTTGGCCAGTTCCCCTACCAGGTGGGTCTATCCCTGAAGGTTAGCGCTCTGTCCTCTGCCTGGTGCGGCGGCTCCCTGATCAGCAGCACCTGGGTGCTCACCGCTGCTCACTGTACCGAAGGGTAAGTGCTCGACTATCTGGTTCTGGGTGCAGCTCGGCTCATTCTTATTTGCTTGCAGTATTCAGTCTGTGACCGTCTATTTGGGCGCCACCGTGCGCACCTCCCCCGAGGTTAGCCACACCGTTCCCAGCTCCGACATCATCATTCACTCCGGCTGGAACAGCAACAACCTGAAGAACGACATCTCTCTGATCAAGATCCCAGCTGTTGCCTTCTCCAGCAAGATCCAGGTCGCCAAGCTGCCCGCCATCGCTAGCTCCTACTCGACCTATGCCGGTTCGACCGTCGTCGCCTCCGGCTGGGGCCTCACCAGCGACTCCGCCAGCTCTGTTGCCTCCGATCTGATGTATGTCGATCTGAGCGTCATCACCAACACCGTCTGCGCTTCGACCTACGGCTCAAGCATTGTCACCGCCACTAACATTTGCGTGTCCACCACCAATGGCAAGTCCACCTGCAGCGGCGACTCCGGCGGCCCATTGGTGCTGAAGGACAACAGTGTCCAGGTTGGTCTGACCTCATTCGGCGCTGCCGCTGGCTGCGAGAAGGGCTACCCAGCTGCCTTCACCCGTGTGACCAGCTACTTGGACTGGATCAAGTCCAACACTGGCGTCTCCTACTAAATATCAGGAACTTCAACTTCAAACCAATAAAAGCTTTAACTAAATATTTATGTTGTTATTATTAATTTTGTTATTGTTGCAATTCCCAAAAGGTTAAAGCGCAGAAGAGGACTCGAGGTGCTACAAAATGCTCCTGATTCTGTTATTCTGTTCTCTTTATTCTGTTAAACAACCTGCTCAGGATAAGGTTGTAAACTATAAACTGGCTGCCGAGGCCTTCGTCTCAGACCGGGCATTCGAGCCCGCATCCCTCCAACTTTGTCAACTCATTTCGCAAAATATTCAAACCGCTTTCACTTATTTTCCCACTCGCGCAATGAATTCACAAAATTTCGGCGTTCGCATCAAAAGTTTAAATTGACATTAAACGACAATTGCAAGTGTTTTGGGCATGCAAAGTGGTGGGGGGGGGGGGGGAGGGGGCTGTGAAAAGTGGGCGCGGCAGCAGCTGTTACGAGCGCTCAGCACATAAGTTTTCATTAAAATTCATTAAATTTACGCGGCGACACAATAAAAGAAGCAAAAAAAATAATAAAAAAACACTCGAGAAAAATGGCAGCAACAACAGCGAAAAGTTATTCATTCAAGTGAAAGTGGGCGTTTGCTGTGTGGGCGTGGCCTGCTGACAATATGTCAACATTTAAATTATTACAACGCATTTAAATAATGGCAAAAGTTTTCGTTTTTTTTTATGTTTTGTTGAGTTTTCTCTTTTATGATTGTTTTATTTTTTCTGAGCATTTATTTTTTGTACAAAGTTTTCCCATTGAGCTGGAAAATTGCAGGGCACATTTTGTGAAGCCCAACTCCGAAGTTTTCCACACAAACGCTTCAAGAAGTGGGATTCATAAAATTAAGTACAAAATATATATATACATATATTCGTATATTCAAATTTCGCAATCTCATGCATGTTCATAAAAGCGCGCATGAATATGCAAAGAAAAACACTGTCCAACAATGAAGTGGCCCACACACACACACACACACACACACACTCACACACACACAAGGAGCTGGAACTTGCAAACGCATATGCTGCTGCGGTTCGCATAGAAACCATTTGTTCAACAATGTCCAAATTAGAGTTGGGTCGTGTTTATTTTCGTGACACGAAGAACAAACGAGGAACACGACTTATAAAATATCATAATCAAACAATAATTGGTAATAACATTCATCTTGATAAATAAATAAGTATTTTTAGGGGCATTTATAAGTATACTTTTCTAGTACTTATTTTTTTGCAACTGTTTGCACGAGCAGGCACGACTCACAAAATCATAGACTCTCGATATCATAACTATAATTTCTATATGTTTAGTATATTTCCTTCAAAATTATAACAATATTGGAATATATTATATTAATTAAATTATTTCTTAATATTATTTGCTTCTTGCTTTCGTGACACGAACAACAACATCACATCATATAAGTTTACAATATTATCAATATTAATGGAATGAATTATCTAGTTTATTTTTGTATACTTCTTTTTACTTTATTCACAACGTTTCAAAGTTCAATGATGAAGCCTTGTCCGGCCTTTAGTATGTTTTCCACCCATTTTACGCTCATCGTGGTGAATAGTTGTTAAAACGATATTTAACCGTTTCAGCATATTTAAGCATGGACCAATCTTTTAGACATTACGATAAACTAAAGCTCAATCAGACGAAAATATAACTACCGTGCATAAAGTCGAATCCGACCATAAATTTTCTTCTATTGAAAAACGGGAAAATACACCTAAAATTATTCTATACAAAGGTCTTTGAATGTAGGTTTGGGATGAAAAATTTATATAAGAAATATTCTTCAATTATAAATATTATATTCAATTATACTCCCGTTTGAGACTAGAATTTATTAGCCCCTGCTCTCCAAAGTGTATTGCATGTCGTGTCGAGACACGCGACCATCTCTATCCCAAA